CACCACCCACACTTTGCATTGCCCCATTTCAGGTGACCTTAACCCGAGTTACCCATGATTTCATAAGGCCACTTGGCAAAACCGGTGCTGGTTTCATTTTTGCCTGCAGCCTGCAGGTTTTTGAGTGGAAACTAGAAACTATCCCCGCTGGATCCTTTGTTGCTGACTGATGCAAACAGGAGGTCAATGATACTCAAGGTGGCTGGCTGTTTGCCCGAATCAACATGTCAAGTTTTATGACAAATTAATTTTCAACATGCTGTGGTGGTTAGTCTATTCCGGAGTTTCTACACATGGAGTTTGGCGCATACCAGTACTTGCTGGCGCAGCTGCCAAGGCAAGAGGTGCCTATCGAAAGCGTCTTTGCTCAACATCTTGGAGTGCAGAGCCCGTTTCATTGCATGATCCTCCGAGAATCAACACTATTATATATGGTCTGCACTTGAAAGCGGATGGCACCAACAAATATCGAAATGTATGTCCGTACAGTTCTTTAAAGGCAATTGTTGGCAGGTGCCACTCGCGCACGTGTGCAACAAGCATTCGATCATTCAACTGAGTTCGGGATAGTTTGGGTATATCCAATTCGGTGTGAGATGGTGCTTTCATATATGTGTGGTCACTCATACCTTTGCTTTGTCATGTTTGCTCTCATGACTTCGCTCCAATATGTGAGCTCTCATTTGTTTGCTCTCATATTTGCTATCATTTTCACTGTTTTGTGACACAAGCAGTTGTTATGTAATGTTGGATCCTGATTAGTAAAGGGGGCCCCCCCTCTAAACAAATGGGAGGTCCTCTATAATAGACTACCACCAAAACAAATCTGGGTTCCTGGGAGGGTTCCTTTTGGAATTGATTGTAGTATTTTAATTAATGTTCCTTTCTCATGTTCTTTGTAATTGTATAAATATGTTTAAATATTCTCAGCAATCCTTTTCCTATGCAACCTCAGATCGTGAGCAGATCTTCAGGTCTACTACAGGAATTGATGGCTTTGGGAAGCTCTAGAAACTTAAATAAATAAAGAAACTTAGGATTACCAACTATACTCTCAGCAAGCCAGCCACTGGCTTAGTAGTACTCACAGGTCCCCGAAGGATTTAGAGACCTATTTTTTCAAATAGCGAACAAATAATTAGGATCACCAAAGAACAGCACAATGGAGAACCCTTAAAACGAACATAGTGTCCAGACTTATTTTTGGACCATTTAGCATTATAGAGGACCCTATTACTAATCAGGATCCAACATTATTTCTATATATTTCTATTTGGTTTATGTCAACTTAATGGTTGTGTATGATTTTGTTGAGTGCCACTGTTTGTTTTAAACGCTGTGCATGAAAAATTGGGAACACTTGCAAACTGATCGGGGTTACCAGAGCCCATAGCTATATAGAGGGATCAGCGATTAGCATGCGATTTTTGACTGATATATATATATATATATAAGTTTATTGATATATAAGTTTTTGTTCTGATGACAGCTGAAACCGACTGAGCAGTCAATGTTCCCTTCCACTGTCAATCTCAGCTGACTACATTCAGACACATGCTTCAGACATTCGACAGCAGGAAAACAAAAACAAACACAGAGCGCGCTTGTGTTTCCCAGATTTTCTGCATTTGTCACATGATGTTGCATTTTCTGACTTAGTGTTGAAAAATTTTGGAAAATTAGGCAATCTGGCCTGGAGCCATCATGTAGATTTAGTCTCCCAATATATCAAGATGATGACTTGAAACATTCTGAAAACTGTTGAATGTGGTTTGAACTGGGACAAGTATTGTTTTCCTTTCAGTACTACATCTAGCTAGAGATCGCTTGAATTTTTTTTTGAGATGATTAAAAGCAACGAGGTAGTTTGAAGTAATTCATTGGGGATATGTTGAGATAAATTGGGATTTTGGGGTGATTCGGCACTCTTTGATTTGGGTCTTTTGGTTTTGTTTTTGGGATTTGATTGATTGTTTACTTTGTGTTCATTTCCTTTGTGTCCTTTGACCTGCACTTGCTTTTGAAATGATTTCTCATGTTCATCTAACTACTGTAGATGTGTGTGTGTGTGGTGGTCTCGTAGGTGCCCGCAATCTTCTCACAAGCAGGTTCTTAGAGATGTGCCGTTTTTGCTAAATACAGTATATAAGCTTGTTCACTCATGCCTGCGTTGTCGTGTGCGTGTTTTTCATGTGTGTGTGCTCTAGTGTGTGTTTGCTTTCATAAATTTGTTCTCATATGTGTGCCCTCACGTATGTGTTCCTGAATGCAAATGTGTTTGTATAGTTATTACTGTAATGTTTTTGTTCTGATTCTAGTTCAGGGTGTTTGTTTTTTTTGCCGGATTATGTTGTGAGCTTTCTTGGGGCGCCAAAGCAGGAGGGCGTTGCTTGGACAAAGGCGACCTTGCGGTAGCAGTCTGCCACAAAGTTCGTTCGATCAGAAAAATGGTTTTGTACATTTTTCGAATCTAGAGCATGCAACTGCAAATGGCAAATGGGTACGCTACAGTAGGAAACCAACAATGTGGCGAACAACCGTTTGATACTGGAGGTACTGTGGTCTCTGTGATTCCTTGGGGCGATGTGGTGCCTGCCCTGGACGAGCAAGAGGGCATGGTGCAGCGCATTGTGTCACAATCAGGCATTGTTTGATTCCTGAAACATGTTTTGCTCCCAATCCTTATAATCCGGACGCCTAAGATAGAAGATATTAGTTGTGAAAATCTTCTATTTGAAAGCATGCCCGGTTTTGAACACCCGACCGGTTCAAATAGAAGATGGCCCACAAGCCCGGGCAAAACAAATAGAAGATATTATTTGGGACAGCCGCGGCTATTTCCATCTCCCTCTCCTCTCCTCTCTCCTGTCTCCTCTCTCCTCTCTCCTCCCTCCTCCCTCCTCCCTCCTCCCTCCTCGCTCCTCTCTCCTCTCTCCTCTCTCCTCTCTCCTCTCTCCTCTCTCCTCTCCTCTCTCCTCCCCTCTCTCCTCTCCTTTACTGAGTAGTTTTCACAGAAGATTGGACTGGCCAGGGCTGCCGTTGTCAATTTCTTCTAATTGAGACCTCTCTGCTGAGCAGTATCTTCTATTTGAAGTGCCCGAAATCGCAAAAATCGGTCTGCGGAGATTCTCTGGACGTTGTCAGTTTCTTCTATTTGAAACCATGGCCCAACTTCCCCAAAATGACTGCCTTCTATTTGAAAATATTGTTTCTTATCTTCTATCTTTCCCGTTCGGATTATAGCCCATTGCCATATTCACAACTTCTTGGCTTGCAAGTCTAGGATTGAGATCAATTTGTTCCGGTTGCGTGGAGTTTAACTCGTGAGGGAGCACAAGACACACTTATACCACCAGGTTGGTTGCAGTTATACAATGTCAAACGACTTGAATAGAATTTGCATTTATCAACGAGAAAGGAAGTCAAAACGAAACAAAAATGAAAGACAGGATGGTCGACCTGGTTTATAAAAACAAGACGATAAACAACCTGTTAGCAGCCCCGGTTCACATACCAAACATTTTACTTTATATGTGTGTACTATTGCCACGCGGTTTTGCATGTTAAAGCCTGTTTTATTTTTTAGATAATAACTTGTGTTATCCTCTTCCTTTCCGTAGGTCTGTTAGCAAAGCAATTGCTTTTGTTGCCTTGGTTGAACGCTCAGGTATTGCATGCAAATCCCGCAACCCCATCACGTGCCACTCACTTATCCAGACGGGCTGTGAACTTTATCGAAAGTGTGGCGATCCTCGAGGACGAAGCATGGAACACCTTTGTACCGGAGAGGTTGGGGCAGTGTATAAACAGCACGATTGCAATAAGGAAGTTGCCGAGAGGTGCACGAATGAATGGAGGAGTGGAGGATAGTGTATCAATGGGTAGTCGTTCGTTAAGGTTAGAAGATGGTTAGACTTGTTTGGAAATTGGATTGGACCATATTGTTTCAGGTGGGCAGCGACTGGCGACAGATACCATGGGACCGATTCGCTTGGTATAGTTAGCTCGACTTCAGGGAGCACAGATGATTGGCACCCGGCAGTGTGAAGATCAGCCGCTGGCATCCACTTGTAAAGCTGCTGATGCTCTGCAACTCTCAAATCGCACACATGACTTGTGGAGCTGATTAAAGCTCGTTGGCAACATTCCTCATGTGCAAGTCAACAGGGCATGAAGAAGTTGGAAAGAACCATGCTTGTGTGAGAGCCTACATTGACATACAGCATGCAGCTTTAACATGCTTTAACTGGTTTATGTTTGATATATTTGCAGTTGCGCGGTGTAGCGTAGCCATACTGTCCCTAGAACATGGTGTCGGTTAGACTGCGCACGAGGTGTTTCCCATCCCAAGTGCACAAAAGATGCCTAGGGTGCAGCGAACAGATTGATGTAAAATGTACGAATGGGTGGACTGATTTGTACGCCTCAAGTTTGATGACCGTGCAGTGCCATTATACGGGATGACCAGACGATCTGTTCCAACATGTGTGCTGCAATTGCGAAGAAGCTGAGGGCCGAGTCAGACCTTTAGACTCTCCATGTCATGGATGTGCCCCGGATTTTGCTTCTGTATATGTAGTGACAGTCCTGTATGTGTTGCTGATTATCCATGTTCAGATCTGCTCTACTTTATATTTGTTCCTACTTAATTCTTCCCCTTTTAGCCAACGGCACCGTGTTATAGCCTGTCAAATGTTGACGCGGAACGGATATGCAGTGATGCCTCCAGCACAGTTGCACATAAACTACTTATTCACTTTGTTGCACACAAATTAGCCTTAAATGGCCTTAGTATTAATTCAGAATCATATGAATCATATGAATGCTTGATTAAAATTGACAATGCTGAATGATGCATTATCAAACTTGTAAAGCAGTTTGCAACGTGTATTATTAATGCACAAGCAATTATAAATTAAGTTTACATAATGCAGTATTTTTAGTGTTTTGGACTTGACTGGCTCTTACTTCAGTACGATGTCTCAGACTCATTCCTCCAGGCCCGAGCTTCCGCCTTGGCTGCCTTGAAACGGAAGCCTGAGGCACGGAGAGCCTTGCTGCGCCTTGCCCGTTTTGCGCACCTGAAAGAAACTAATAGCGCATTGCTGTAGTTGAGCTAAATCAGTCGGGTGTTGGTTTGTGGTGGATTTTGTGCTACAAGTGTTCATGTGTATGAATTGATATACCTGTATGCAATAATATGCGCATGTATACACACATGGCGGGCCGTTTGCAAAACAATGACCGGTAGATAGTATGGAGTTGGGAATTGGAGTGGCCACCTGGAAGTTTGTAGAACCGCCTGTTGTACAAGTTCACCCAATAATTCAAACAATCGAGAGGGAGGGAGGCAGGGAGGGAGGGAGGGAGGGAGAGAGAGAGAGACAGACAGACAGACAGACAGACAGACAGACAGACAGAGTGGTAATATGCAATGCTTGCAATAGTCGGAGTGTAAGAGCTACACGGAAGGGTTTTTGTCCTTGGGCGGATGCAGTTAAGGCGTGCTGACCATTCAAGCGCAGAAGAAACGAAGTAATTACTGTGTGTGACAGCTAAAGTCACAAGGTAGGAAAGAGCGGGACGCACGACCGATTCATGAGAGGTCAGCATATCAGGTGTTTGTGGCTTCTTTCGGGGAGGAAACACGGGCTGTTTTGACTGGAACAGGCCTGGGCGCAGGCAGTATTGGTGGATCTCCTTGCTTGGCTGGTGCTGAATGGCATTCGAGCCGAGGCTCGTGCCAGAATGTTTCTACTAGCTTCTTGTTACTACTAGTAAGGCACTTGTTACTACTAGCTTTCTTTTGAGTTGGTTGAACAAATGCAACATGCAACACAATATATGAATGCATACACCAGATATAACAACATATACTGTATATATTATTATGTACTGTAACATTTTGCATGCAAAGGACTGGACATTACTTACTTGGTGTGTAATTATGTGGCATGTATCGTTCAAAGGTCTCCCACATGTTTCACGTCATCATCCTGCCACAGCAAATTCACAAAGAAGGCCTCACTTTTTGATTGGGCCGGAATCCGGAAATGACGCTACTAGGAGCAAAGGGTATCGCTACTAGGAGCAAGGACGCGACTAGGGCTCCTGGCATCGCTACTAGGAGCATTCTTACTACTAGTAACTAGAATAGGTCTAGGGCCGGGAAGGTCAGGTTGGAACTCTTCCATTCGATGATCAGCGACAGCGACGTCCATGACTCATGACTATGCCTCCATTTCTGAGTGCGCAGTCTCAAACGGGTTCTGTAGTCGTTTGCGGAGGCCTGCCTGCTTCCACACAATGTTTTGATTGTCTTGCGGAGTCTGAATGCTGTAAGTTAGGGTACCCCCAATCTCCAGTGTTCAAGCAGGTCCTGGCTCCGAGCAGGAAAGACAGAAAACTGTTTCTTCCGTTTCCATGTTGTTCTGTCTTTGTTGTCTTTGTTTTGCAGGCGGTGCAGCTGTATGTGGGTACAGCTAGGAATTCAGGCAAGAATGGTACAACAACAGTCCAAACAATAATAGACGACAACCTCCAAAACATATTATATATATAAATACGAGTTGGCAACAAAAGCGATAAGAGCGGCTAGTAATCGGACACCAGGAGCAGCTATTGCAAAAGATCAAGCATCAACAAACTCAATTGTGGAGTTACTGAATATAGAGAACCACAGGCCAGAACAAGATAAAACAAGCAACCATGCATACTATATATATATAGTTATCTCTAGTTACTAGTAATTGCTTGTTTTTTCTTGATGGTTTTCTTGATGTTTGGGTTCTCGCTTTGTTTGCTAACCACGTTAGGCGCACGAATTTGGCACCCTGCTTGTGGATGGTCGTTGAAAGTCGACAGCCTACTGTTTTTCTTCAGTACAGTAGTTTCTTTTGTGGGGGTGTGTGCTGTTGTGTATTTTTTTGTGGAGTGTTGCGTATACTTTTTTGTTGATTGGCTTTGGCCGTGCAGCTGTTTGTGCTGTGCATCAATGCTGAGTTGTTTGCTGCTTCTCTTGGTTCTTTACTTTATACAGGAAGAAACCTTCAGACTTTGGTCACAAGGTTTGGAGTGAGTGGTTTCAAGTGCAGGTTTTGGTTTCCGAAAGGTTGCGACGTTCAGAGGTTTTGCAAGGCAAGCAAGGTAACCTTCAGGAAAAATAAACAGCATTTCTTTACAGCTGCTGGGTCTTGCTTGAAGGGTTTGTTTGCCATGCATATTGAAAACAGGCGTAGCTGCTTTGAAGCATTGCTGCATAATATTGCCACAGCCGATGAATTTTGGAGTATCAACGGGGGAAGCCTCGCAATCACTTGCTTACTGTAGATTCCAATATTCAGGGACGGTTTTCGAGTGAACCTCCCAACGATACTTACACAACAGAACCAGTGCCACCCAACGTCCCTTTCCAATGAACCTCCCAACAACCAATCAAACCAAGCATGTCCGACTCATGTTCAATCCAACCCCTCTGGAGTTGAAGGCGGGGTACGCTTGGTTGGAAGGGGAGGGGGGGGCCTAGATGCCCAAGCTGCTGCTGACCAGGTCGAGTCATCTCAAGTTTACCGCTTAAAGTGGAAGCTCTCGTTTGGAACTTTGCAGGCCAGAAAGAGGCATTTGCTACATCAGCAAGACTTGCAAAACCTTTGGCGAGCTGCAGCATGTGCCAGACTTGGGCGTGTGACAGATAGTGGAGCTTGGGTCCAGGAACATGGTGAAAGCAGTGGTTCTCAATCTGAAACGGTTTTTGTAAGAGGATCCCCTTTCTGGTGGGAAGATCCTCAGACAGTCAATGATGCTTTTTGGCACGTGCCGGAAAGGCCGAGTTTTGGAATCGCCCCGTGCGGAGCAGCTCTTGGCAGAGGCGTGGTGGCATGGGAATTTGAGAATCGAGAGGCTGTCAAAGTGCCAAGGCCCAAGAGCAATTGAATGGATTTATAGTGATTTTGATATTTGCAGCTTGGGGTGTCGCCGCGACATTATGCGTATAGAGAGAGTAATAAATCAAGACCTCGGGCGAGCATAGCAATTAGGTCTAAAATACAGAGGAACAAGAAGAAGGTAAGGCCCTTGTGTAAGGTGTTAAAGGGGCCTTCTAAGCGCACATCCATGTGCGGCTAATTCGCTGCTATTTGCGGTGCATTCATGCCTCGAGATGTTCGATCTGCATGTACAAACTCACCGCCGCAACAGGGTGCTTTACTTGACTGGGCTCTTGTTGTGGGGCTGTGCATATTTTTGGGCTTGGTGGTCACTTTGCGTGGCAGGCACAAGGGGATCCTCGTGTTTTGAAGTTGACGACTCATTGTGCCGGTTGACTTCGATGTGCCAAGTTCGTGGCACATGCAGCACATTGAAAACCTCCAAGTGCAGATTTCGTTGTAGGCGCGGCAATCTGTGAACCCCTTATATTAATTCTCTCACCTTTGTGCTCTCATGCTCTTGCTCACATATGTGTGCTTTCATATTTGTGCTCTCATGCGAGTGTGTGCGCGTGCTCTCACAATGCTCACTCATACCCCTGCTCACTCATACCCCTCTCATGTGTTCGGCTCTCGCATGTGTGCTCTCATATTTGTGTTTTCGGCGGTTTGCTCTCAGTGTGCTGCTAGCTTTGTGCTCTGGAGACGTTTAAGGTGCGGAACTTGGCATATTCACCCTTGCTCTTTTACTCAACGCTGTTTGGGGCCTCTTGCCGGGAACGTGTTTTGCGAATTGGGTGTTCCATGCTTCCATGTCACTAAATGTCACCCGGTTTTTTGGCCCACTATGTTCACATACTTCGTGGATTTGGCACATGCGCAGTTTATTGACCACACTTGTGCCGGAACACAGTTTAGAAGAGTTCACGTTTTGGATGTATGGTATTGTTATGTATTGTGCGTTCACATTCTGGTAGGTTGCTGGTTTCCGATACGCAACACTTACGGTAGCTAATTGAAGGATTTCAAAGTTTGGACCTTCTTGTGTGTAGGTGGACCATGAATATATATATATATATATTATGAACATCAAAGAGCACGTAATTGAATGCAATTGAAGGGGGGCAATGACAAACACCACAGGGCCGCTTGAAGATCGCCCTGTTCGAGCTTTTGGGATCTTTGGACTTCTGCGTCGGGCGGTCTCAGCTGGTTCTCGCAAACCTTAGCTGCAGCTGGCATGGTTGCCGTAAAATTGTATGATGTTTATGATGTAGTACAGCCTTTTTGTCGGACTGTTATTTTCGTTTTGGTAGTAGTGTTCTACCAATTCCATGCTTGCATGGACTTGATGGTGCTGGCATAGATAGAGAGTTCCTGAGGTGTCGGAGAAGAGACCTGGAGAAGGCTTTGCACGAGGAAAGTTGGAATTTTCCTCATGGTCAGCATGCAAATTGTGCGAACGTGGTCAACGCCACTGATTAAGGTTGTTGGAATGATTCTGAGTTTGCTGATGCAGCTGGCCAGAAAGTTCAATTGCTTTGGAACAAAAAGACTGAGCTCGCAAGCTTTGCAAATGCTTTTTTGCAAGGTGGCGATAGCAAGGGCAGCCCAGGTCAGCCCAGGTCAAGCGTGATGGGGAACCAAGTGGGTTTACATATATATATATATATATATGTGTGTGTGTGTTTCTAGGTTGGAGGCCATCGCTATAAGGTCGTCTATATACATAGGTTTATGTGTTTCTGATGGCGAAGCTTGCACCGTGCAAGACCTTTCTGAGGTGTTGAGGCACGTTGGCGTCGGGCAGTTTCACGCCACGCTAGGCACTCAGGCTTCATGCTAAAGGCACCCACAAAAAATGCCCATGCCATCCCCGGTTGCATGCGTGTTTTTGGGTGAGACTTGGGCAATGACCCAGGTTGGCAAAGGCACAATCGGGCACAGTGCCAGCAGCTCAGGTTTGTGTTGCGTGTGCAAGTTGACAAGTTTATGCCAGGTTTGGTCCCGCTTTGGGTGATGATGCTTCAAACAGCACAGACAGGAATTTAAGAAGTAACTGCGCTGAACACTTAGTATCAGATCCCAAATCCCAAAATCGTGGAACTTCCGTTTATTTGCTGCCCTGCCCTGGCTAAGACAAGGTTTGGACCAACGAAGCTGCCAGGGACGAGGTGGGCATGTGGGGGTGTTGTGCAAGTTTAAGCAATTTTGTTTGGTTAAACTTTATGCATGGTGGTGCACCTGACCAATCACAGCGCCAGGCTCGGGCAGAGGCAGAGCGCATACTTCGCCAGCAGGGAGCAGAGTCAACCTGCCACATGTTCATTTGGCGATGGAATCTGGAAGCACGATCAGGGACAATGGCCTAGTTGTTGTTCCATAGTTTGCAAGCTGTCCAAGGTCTCACATCACATGCAGAATGCTTTGCTGATCATTGTTGTGCATTGTGCCAATAGGGCTCTCTATTTGGTCTCGATTCTCGGCGTTGTTGTCTCTCCAAGAACCTGCACCGGGTGACTAGTCCACCGGTGACTAGTCCACCTATCATTGAATATGTGTATATATATATATTATATCGATTAAATATCAGCCTGAGCTTTGTAGGGTTGTTTATTTGTGGGTTGAGGGTGTCAGCTCAAACCGCCCAAACATTGTCCTTGGCAAAGCAAGGCCCGGGCTTACACCCGTAACAGCGAGGTCATGCTGTGAATGCTGCTTTTGTAAGGTCAGAAAGCTTTTGAGTTGTTTGAATATATATATATACATATATATGCAATATGTGTGTATAATATACATATATATATATGCACATATAGCCGCAGGCTAGCTAGCAGGAAAAGGGAGGTGTGAGGTGTACGCCGTGTATGCAAATGTTACGGCATGGAGATACATAGAGCACTTTGTTTGGTTCCTCTTTCATTTTGACCTATAATATATAATATAAGACCTAAGGCTTGAAGGATCACACGACGATGACGAGTTCAACTTCTCAAAGGTGCGAAGCGGGCTGCCCATGTTGAAATGCAGCATGATGGCAGAGTCATTGAACAAGATCCGTTATATAGGTATAACTATGTATTATATCTATCTTATCATATAATATCATAGAAGAAGCATATAGATGTGTAATACACTATATCATTACATCATTCTTTGCTGTCGCATTTTAACACCGGTCTATGATATTGTCACTAGACGACTTGTATAATAATTAATGACAATGTAGAAGCCCCCATGCCCCGCAGCCACTCCCCAAGCTGTTTGTTTCAGCCAGCATCAGGAGCAGGTCCAGGAGCAAGAGCAAGAGCATGAAGAGGAAGTGGAGCAGGTCAGACACCAAGCTTGGGATGACAAGAGTCTTCAAGTTGCTGGGATGCATTGAGTCCAATTGAGTGCAATGCATGCTCTGAGAGCGGGAATGACTGGGAGCGATTAAATATATTTAAATATGTTAGTTTTGTGGATGCGACGGTCGAATGAGAACACAGGATCACAGGGTTGTTGGTAGCTGCGGCAGCCCGAAAGTGATACAGTGAAGACACTGACACTGGCTGGTTACATATAGAAATTCCACAGGAAATCATGCTTTTCAGGACTTTGCACAGTTTTTGTTTTTCGCGTTTCGACTTTCCATCAACCCAGATTTGCTCTTGGTTACACCGTTGCGCGTTTCTGCAGGACCACGAGCAAGAGGCCGGGGTGAGACTTGGCATAGACATGTATCAGCTTTGACCACGACGATGCTGGAAGATGAATGATCGATTCAGGGTGTCATGGCCCGTTACTACCTTTTGACCTGAGCATTGAAATTGTTGCAAGGTGCAGTTGGAAGAGGACCTGGAGCGGGTGCCCGAAGCACCAGCTGAGCAGCGCTATGCACGAGATGCTGAGGAGGCGTAAAGGGGCAAGGCTTAATGGTTTGTTGTTGTTGTTGTTGTTGAGTTTTTTTGCCACTCGAGTCTTGCCAGCCACTTTTGAGCACAATTGCACAAAAACCCACATAACAGAATCTAGTTGCCAAGTTGCCAGTATGCAGTTACTTTTGTGGTCTAAAACCTGCATCGTGTGCGAGAGGTTCGTAAGGTTTTGCGCAAGGGTAATTCGCAAATATTCGCACTTCAACAAATTTATAGCAAATGTTTGAAGTTACTGGCTTGTGTTTTGTGGAGTGGAACTGAAACTAGCGATGATTTAAGACAGAACAGTTTTTGTCCACTCTTTCGTGCAGTGTGATCAGCGGCAGCGTTGCGGAAGCATTTCCACAAGTCTCACACGTTGAGCACAAATCAGGATTCGAATTTCCATGCAAGGTTCGCAAGCAGGAATTTAATTTACATAGAATGTGTCGGGCCATGTCAGCTTTTATTGAGCCAGCTGTTTCAACCATGCCAAGCTATTCCAGTGTACTTGCCAAGCCAAGCTGTCACGATCATTCGGTCATCTAGCGGCAGCGATCTGCACTGGCTGTTGGTATGAGCCATTTGATTTTGTTGGATTTTTGGATGTTTCATGTGCAGAATCACGATCACCCACGATCAACCCACAAGAGGCCCTTACCACCTTGCTCAACAGTCTCTACAGCTCCATTTAGGCTTCATACTTTGCAACACTCTCCACAGCTCCAAGTGATGTGAACTTTGACGGGTCCACAGGGTCTATGAAGAAGCGCGAGCTATCCGGCGTCCTAGGTAGTAGCTACTTGCAGCTAGTAGCTACCTCTTCTACTTTACTAGCTACCTACCTACTATCTACCTTTGGAGGCCCACCCCACCAAAAACAAACAGAATTGCTATGTTTCTCTCTCTTTCCCCCTTGAAACGGAAAGGTCGAGACTCGAGACCCCATTTCAGGCTTGGGGCCTTGTGGATGACATTAGAGAGTCTTGCAAAGTACTTGAGACTGTTGTGGAGCAAGGTGGTATATAAGTGGCACCATTGATTTGGTTCCTAGATTTTGGGGAAACTTCACTAATAGCGATGGCCTCCAACTTGAAGAATCTATGTCCAAGCATGACGTGCAAGGGGCTGGGGCGTGCTTTCTGACCGTCGTTGTTGTCGTTGGGCTTCTTTAATGCTTTGGCGCGTGAACCCCAACTGAAAGCCAAGAACCGCTGTACCAACATGTCGTTGTTGATATGGATTTGGCCAGTTCCCAGCCGGTTGAAATGCCCCGCAGGCTGTGCCATGGCCATTGCGAGGCTTAGCACCAAGGCCTGTGTTTCTTGTCCCAATGAGACCATTCACCTTCCTTTGGTACTTCTGTTCTTTTTCCCCACCTGCCAGGTGAGGGTTGTTAGACTTTATCAGAGCTCTTCTCCTCCTCCTTCTCCTCTCCTCCTCTCTTCTCCTCGACTCCGGACCTCAACCGCAAGCGCCAGATCGCAGGGATCATTGTCGGACTTCAACCGGAAAGCGCCAGATTGCAATGGGCACCACCGGACCTCAACACCACAAACACACTGCCACAAGCACGCAACCACATCACACAACCCCACAAAGCAGAACCACAAACGCACAACATCACACATTGCCAACACATAGGCACTTTGTGGGCAGGTGGTCACAGGTGTCACAGAGTAGCACTTTTGGATGCCAATTGGAGACACTGGCGACACCCTGGCGCGAACTCCTGCGACAGAACCACCGAACAGTGTTCTCGGACTGAGCAACCCACGAAGTGGGTTTCAATAGGTTATGTCCCGCAACAACAGAGTTTTTCCAGGGCTTAATCGCAGGGACTTGGGCAGCTTAGACACAAGTAGGCTGGAGCATGACTTCGTGCTATGTTGTTGATTGGTTTTGGCAGGATCATGCTTGGCTGTGCAGCTCTGATATTCTTTTAAAGGGAGCGGTGCGCTAGACATCCAGGAGCCGAGAGATGCTTCCCTTTTACCCAATGGCAGACTTTGCGGTGAACAAGGGGCCAGATGCTGAGACGTGCTAAGACCACCACTTTGTTGCTCAAATGAGGACTATGAAAGATATGCAAAGGCTTTACTTTTAAGACTTTTGAAGAAACTGTCAGCGTTGGGAATGGGCATGTGTTTTATTTTGTTAAGATCTAGGGACAGGGTCAGAGACCGTGCTCACAAAACCCCTAGAACAGTGGTTCCTGCGTTTGATTAGGCTACAATGATGTACAATGGACTTGTATACAAAATGCAGAACTACTAACACCTGCTAACTGCTTGCAGACCCTTGCTATTACTGTAATTTGCACGTCCTGCTACCCCTTGCGTTTAGGTCTTGGACGTGACTCATTGCTCTTAAGAATGCCGCTTTCGACAAAATTTATGCTGCCAGAATCTTCAACGAGTCCAGTCCAGTGTTGTCCGGGCTTCCACCGTTTGCTGGATGCTCAGCCAATCTGTTGCGAGTGGAGCAGATAGCCAGGGTGTGTACAGCATCCATCGGATATGTTTTGCATTGTAAAATATTTTTGCTCGGGCTTCTCGTTGGATCGCCGCGAGTCCTTTCAATCAACCTTACAGAACAGTTTGTGGCAATGGAGGTGATGTTGAGTGACAATTACTATCGACGACAGTGGCGACTGAGCTCTGTGAGAAGGCCCGCAGTCAGTGGTTCCCCGAGTGTGTTGGGTGCTGCGGGGTGCAAGAACTTAGGCCGGAGAAGCGATGAATCATGCATAAGACGACTCTAGATTTTGGAAGTTCATCGCAGAAACAGAGGAGATCACGACAGGCTGACACCGTAGCCTGGAGCTATTTGGGTCAATGTGCATTTCTGGGAAGACCGCCTTGATCTGCTTGATGTTCACAGCTTGGTGCATGCCTCGCAGGCTGCGCAATGTGATTTGCTTCTTGGAATGGGCCCTTTGGTCCAATTGTTTGAAGCGAGGACTGAGTACATTTCCGAACCCACTCTCATGAAGACACCAATGTCGGGTAGTAATTCTCTGAGATCATTCAATTCTCTTCAGTGGCAAGTGGTAAAGCCGGACAAACTTTAGTCCCGGACGGTATGAAGTTCAAGTAAGTTTCAGCTATTGTGTTCTTAAGTTTTAGTCACTAGTCATTCTCATGATCATCAGTTACTCGAATCCTGCCACTCCAGATTCCTGAAAACACAAGGTGTTGGGACAAGTTGATGACACGCCAAGTTGGGAAGCATTCTATTTATAACATACTTATTAAAAATAAGCAACACCATATATTCAGGCCCAAGTTTTTCACAGAAAAAAACTAGTTTTGAATGTTGACTCCAATGCCTCAAGCTGCAACAGTTGAAGGTCAGGTCTGATCACACACACACACATGTTGCTGTGCATGCCTGGCCCATGGCCGGAGGTCGTTACAGGTGCCGATCAGATGCACGTTGCGAAGGAACATTTAGGACCTTCGAGCATTTTAGATCTTAGGCTAGACGGCCAGAGCCATCCTTGTACATGTGGGCCGTCACCAGCCATTACCAGTTCACCATGGTTTACCTACTTCAAACGGATTGAACACATATCGCCCTTTCTGACGTTTAGTTTGTCAGTCGGTCTGTGCCATGTGTTTTTTCTTTTGTCTTGCTGGCCCAGGTCCCATCAATCAAGCACCTCAAGCGCTTTGCCGTGCGCTGGCAGGAAATATATAGAACTCTTGACTCTCTCGAGAATTTATATATATAATATATATATATCTCTCTCTCTCTCCCCCGGCGCACTTTCGCGTGAGGTGATACAGACTCAGGTCTTTGTTGTATCGTCACATCATCAATGTCGCTCTATATTGCATCTTGAGTGCGCTCTTAGCCTGTTTGAGACAACCCCCTATAAGTGCTGTCAGTTCGTCGTTTGTACGGTTTTCATTGCAGGATTGTGCTCGTTTTTATACAATACTAACTGATGGGTCAATGGCTTAGTCATGTCGAATTCAGCGCTCTTCATCCTTTGAACATTCAAATCATTCAATGCATTTTGCTCTTGAATTGTATTGAAGCTAAGGTCTTCGATGCCACTGAAGAGCAACGATTTCGACTCCGTGGCTTGACTGTGAGGGCAAGTGGAAAGAGAAGGGGAGAGACAGAGAGAGGCTACTACAGTAGCCATAGATTGTTTGTGAAGCAGGTGAAGTGGCAACGAACATATACTGTAGTTGATCAACAAGATCCTGGTTATAACGCCCCCTGAAACCTGTTGTATCTTTACTACCACAAGGTTCAAAAGACCAAAGGAACTATGGTCCCTTGACTGGCAACTACTGTAACTAGTTGTTTTCGCATGTTTTCGCAAGGCGGTACAGTGATTTTGAAGGCAAAGGGTCCTCCCTACGTCTGTATTTTGAGAACATGTTCCTTTTCTACATGTGCGCTGCTAAGTGCTCGATCGGAATTCCAGAGCCTGGTGGCTGCTCGGTTGTTTACATGCTCGCATCCATTCAATTAATTGCAGAATCATAATTATGTAATGAGTGGCCATCAGGGATTGTTGGAATCGTTTGAGGCGAAGCGTTGAACCTTTGTGCTGGTGGACGTGACGACTGCCCAGGGCCTCAGTAGCTTTAAGGAGGGCTGGTCTACTCAGAAAGGTTCTTTTCTGTTTCTCAAGCTGATTGCGAGGTAAGCTTTTGCAATGCTTTTCTGCTACCAATTCTGAACACCGACATCGGTTTGAGCATTGAACCTTTACTTTCCTCTGACTCCAACTGCTTTTGAGGCTCCCTCGGATTTGGTCGGGATGAGGCCCGGGTAACTGCTCCAACGGAAAGAAGTTCAGAAAGTGTGATGCCCAAAACGGGTTCAGCTCTCTTTCAATCCGCTTCAGCTGCAAAAGTTGCGGCAAGGCTTGTGGCAGCAGAGGTGAAAGGTGATTAGTCGGACACATGCCTGGACAGTTATATAATAAGTCCGAGTCATGGGATGTCATGTGTGTCGATTCCTGCGATTGCATACATGTTTTCCGTTACCTTTCAGGTT